CTAATTGACTGTCGTCGTCAACTGATCGGTTCGAGAGAGTGATTTGACGACTCAACCCGCACGTCTATGTATAATATACGAGGTAGGTAAATAAAATATATATAATACAATTGTTTATTTATTTATTAATTTTTTTTTTTATATAATTTTATACGTCTTGGAACGAGAATGTTTTTCCGTAAATATTTGGTAGCCGGTATAGCTGTATAACTGTATAAATCTGAAGTTTTAATTATATATTACGTAAATATTTAGCCATTAATTAATATCGATTCGATATAGCCTAATGTATTTCACCGTCGTTTAAAGTTACTTAAAGTTTAAACGATTCGAATGCAATACGGCGCTAAAACAATATTTTGTGGATATCCTGTACCCGCCGTTACACGCTCTTCTTGACTAAACTTTGAACGCTTAACCATAAATAATAAATCGTTTTGGTTTAAACTTCGATATACTCGTATTTATGTACCGACGTTTACGGAATACAAATATGTATATACAGTCAACTCGCGATATAACGAATTTCTAGGGACCGAGAAAAAAATTCGTTATATCAAGAGAATATACCAGTTGAATTCGTTATAACGAGATTTAAAAAATTCAAAATTTAAATCAATAAAATACAAATACATATGTATGTACATATTTATTTGATAATTTTATTATTCGTATACATATGTATAAAATATATTATATTTTGCGTAGAGCCACTAATCGACATAAGTCTTATCTTAATTGCGATACTGTACTTGAGTGTACTATCGCATGATAATCATCAGAAAACCTTCGTAATCTATCATGTGGTAATAGCAACATACTTATTTTTATATATTTTTCATAGAGTTATACACTAGAGACATGTAAAATTAAAAATTCGTAATAGAAAGCTCAAATTTATAAAAATTCGTTAGATCGCGAGAGTTTTGATCAAAAACGCTTCGCTACATCGAGGGGACATAAATACATTACATTTGTTCGTTATACCTACCACGATATTTTCAAGGGACCGGTAGTTTTATTCGTTATATCGAGATTTTCGTTATATCGMGAGTTGACTGTATGTGTGTGTGTGTGATTAAAAACGTGTAATTCCATTAAAAAAAAGTTCAAAATGCGCAGTTRAAACTTATAAGTTCTCCATTCGACTTGAAATATATTATTATATATTGACAGAGAGTAAACGTTTTCGCCATTTAAGTGATTGTCTGATCGCGTGTCGGGTGAAGTGCAAAATGCAAACGGGCAAACATGTGCAATTACACTATCTGGACAGGACGTAACGAAGTTCGTAATCGTTCGACGTAAATGTTCAAATTTATTCGGTCGAAACGCGTTTATTGCAATAAATAATGATTACTGCATACTTGGACAGTGTTGTATAATATTATATACTCAATACTTGTGTACACGTCTTGTATTATTATAGCCATGACAATTATCCACTGCCATTTAATAATATTATGTGACTGTGTAATCGTGCTTTTTAGTATCAATATTTATTTTAACATTTAYATTTTATAAAACATAGAAATTAAAAAATTAATTATGAAAATGGGTATTTTAAACTGCTATTTTCACCAGATTTTGTTTTGTTGAAATTTTCACTTGTTTTTCTTATAATATATTATATTTAGATATATAAAATACTATGTATACATTTATATAACTTGTTTAAAACGTGAATTGTTTGAATTTTCATTAAAAGTTTTTGTTTTATTCTAAAACTTATTACACCAGTGCGATATGACTCTTCGTTTCAATTATTTAACTCTGAGTCGCGAGAAATATTTAAACCGGGTCCCGTAAAATATATACATCAATTTAAACTTTTCCACTTACACCTAAAATAACACGTTAAATCCTTATGATGGCGATCTTCTTAATAAGAAAAGATTTTAAGCCGCACAGAACGAAAAAAACGAACTCTATACACTACACACAATGTCAGCTTGGAAAATATATAACTCTATTGAAATATATAATACTATAAGAGTATAGGTGCAAACATAATTATCAGCCATATTACGTATTATGAAGGGACTTCAGCATTCGCGTGTACCTGTTCAAAATACAATTATCACAAAGTATGGTAACCAGTAGGTACATATTATAGTTAAAAAAAATAAATACCTGAATAACGTAAGCACATTCCATTGACAATGATGTGTCAAAACATTATAATATGAGCGTTTGAAAATAAATCCTTGATTTGTTTTGCACTCGTTTTATTCACGTAATTCTGTTTTTACACAATATTTTGTGTTTTCTCTAATACATTTAAATACATACAAAATAATTTGTCAGATCTATGTCGACGTGTAATGCTAATTTGTTAACCTAGTTATTTACTACATATTATGTTAATATCGTTTTT